GCACAGCGGCCTCTCTGTTGTCTCTTCCTGTCACCGGCTAGTCCCCAGGACCTGGCGTTTATTGCCCACCTGCTCGTACCCACAAACGTCTTACATTTTTCCTGAAGCTCTCCCTTCCGGCTTAGCTCTTAAACTCAGGCAAACGACACCCGAAACCGGCCCTCAGGTGATGGCGACTGTCCCGTCAAGACCCGGCCCAGACCTCCAGGCCGTGACAGCCAAGCCCCCACCTCGTGCCTGCGCAGGTGGACCACGGAGTGACGCTGGAATGACGGGCAATCGCCTGAGCCTCAATATGATACCGAAACCTCCCCCCGGAGGAGCCTCAGCCGCGTTTACAGGACACGCGCTGGGTGCACTGGCAGCTTTCGTCAAGGCGCCCTGTCTCCCTACGATGACAAGCCTTCCCTGTCTACTCATCCTGACCCTAAACCAAAGGCACCCCCCCACCCCGGGCAGTCAGTGTCCAGAGCTATTCCAAAGCTGACTTTGTGTGCCAACTCCGCCTGGCGCGCCTGTGACTCCCCACGAAACGAACTCGCGTTGGTCCCGTGACGTTCCTACACTTTTTCTGCCGTTGTTGTGGGTCTGCCGCAGGGGGCTACCTCCAAGTCGGAACCCCGAGCCGCCCGGGATCGGCTTCAAGAAGCGGGGGGTGCCTTGGTTATTTCTGAAGTTTAGAAAGATCCTTCTAGCTACTGGGAGGACAGACAGGGAGGAACCCGTCCAGGGGCAGGAACGGGGGCCGTGGTGACCCGGACGGCGTGGGCATCTGTGCGCACGGGTCCCGCCCAGGGAGGTGGCCGCAGTCAGGGCTCGTGCGGGGCTGGGGCCCCTGCAGTCCTCGTGCTGCTCTGACGGCGGCCAGTCTCAGTCAGGTGCTGCCCGAGGCCAGGATGAGGGGCGGCACAGGCAAGGCCACAGCTGTGTCCTAAAGGTGGCCGTGGGCCTCGAGACAGGGCCGAGGGGAGAGAGCCTTGGAGTCATTCCGGGTGCCGGTAAACTCGGTGTTCCCTTCCCTTCAGCGGGGCTCCGGGCTGCAGGCACCCTGGGCTCGCTCGTGCAGCCCCGGGAGCCTCCATTGCCACCAGCCACCCCGGACGCCAGCCCACTCCTCCGGCGAAGCTTCTGGGGCAGGGGCCGCCCTGGCCTCGGGAGCTCTTGACTTGGGCTCTTGGTGAACGGGCTCAAAGGGCGCCACAGAGCCCCGCATCGGCCGCGCACAACCGCTCCCAGACCCCGTGTTATAAAAAAGAAAGTTTAATAAGGATTTTTACGCCGGGACGTGTTGTAATTGCCAGTTCTATTTAAGTCATTACACGTATTTACGCTAATTATGTAGTTAAATGTAATTATACTAATTGTATAAACGCACAATAACCGGGTGAGATATACTTTGAGGGAACACAGAGAATCCGCCCGGAAAACCTCCAGGAAGGCTGCGGGTCCCCGTGGGAAGACACAGGGGCGCAGGCAGAGGCCGGCCCGGGGCTCACCGCGCACGCAGCAGGTGCGCAAACGTCACGGAGGGACGGAACGGAGGGCCTCCTGAGACAAATCGGGCCCAAGGACACCCGGTTATCTCAGCCTCAGTGAATGGTCGACTCTGAATCGAAGCTACTCCCAAAAAGCCAACGGGCTTTCTGGACACGCCAAAGGACAATAATGAAGTCACTCTCCCGCTCAAGGATATTCCATGGCTCCCCACTGCCCAAGGAATGAAGCTGCACCACGGCAGCCAGCATGCAGGCCCCCCAGGGTCAGGCTCCAACGTCTCTCCGACCCTGGGTTTAGGGTTTTCTCACGCACACGTGCCACCTGAGCTCCAAGCAGACCCGCTGGCTTTCCTGGGCCTGCTAAATGCCTTCTCATATCCACGAGATTGTGCAAGCAATGTCCTCTGCACAACACGCTGTCCCTCCTGCCTCTGCCCCGCCCCTCCTCTGCAAAGCCTCCTCAGTCGTTCCGGGTGGAAACACAAGCTCCTTCTCCCTGCTCCTACCTCCCACCGCTCTGAATGTGAGCTTCTCTGATGGCACCTGACATTTAAAAAAAAATTTTTTTTTATGTTTATTTATTTTTGAGAGAGAGAGACAGACAGACAGAGAGCAAGCAGGGGAGGGGCAGAGAGAGAGGGAGACACGGAATCCCAAGCAGGCTCCGAGCTGTCAGCACGGAGCCCGACGTGGGGCTCGAACCCACGAACCGCGAGATCGTGACCTGAGCCAAAGTCGGACGCTTCACCGACGGAGTCACCCAGGCTCCCCGACACTTGACACTTTTTAACCCAAGCTGAAGTCCTGGTGGTCGTGCCGGGAGGAGTGAGTTCCCCCGGGGCCAGGGCTCCAACTGCCCCATCTCCACGTCCCTACCCTCAGCACGGAGCCTGGCACGGAGCAAACTCTAAGACATGTCCGAAGAGTAAGTGAATGAACGGAAGAAAGGCTGACTTCTTTTGATAACGACAGCCCGTTGGTTTAAAAGAATCGTAAGGGCTCAGGAAATGACAGATATCGGCAAGGATGCGGAGGAGGCACCGTTGGTGGGAATGCACGCTGGTGCAGCCGCTCTGGAAAACAGTATGCGGGAGTCCTCAAAAAACTGAAAACAGAATTACCCTACGACCCAGCAATAGCGCTACTGGGAATTTACCCAAAGGACACAAAAGTGCTGATTCGAAGGGGCACATGCACCCCAATGTTTACAGCAGTATTATCAACAACAGCAAAGTATGGGAAGAGCCCCGAGTGTCCATCGACGGACGACTGGATAAAGATGATGTGGTGTAGACGATGCGGTATATACACAGACGCCGTGGAATACTACTCAGCGATGGAAAAGAATGAAATCTTACCATTTGCGATGACGTGGGTGGAACTGGACGGTATTACGCTAAGTGAAGTAAGTCAGGCAGAGAAAGACAGATGTCATCTGAGAAACTTACAGAAGACCATGGGGGAAGGGAAGGAAAAATACGATAAAAACAGAGAGGGAGGCAAACCATAAGAGACTCTCAGATACAGAGAACGAACAGGGCTGATGCGGGTAGGGGGTGGGGGGGAGGAGGAGGGGAAAATGGCGGTGGGCACTGAGGAGGGCACTTGCTGGGGTGAGGACCGCGTAGTGTAAGTGACGAATCGCGGGAATCTCCCCCCAAAACCAAGAGCACGCTGTGCACACTGCATGTTAGCCAACTTGACAATACATTATGTAAAGAACAGCAACAACAAAGAAAGAATCACAAGTTGCTGTAGGAGCCCAGAGGGATCTCTTCTGCCCAGTGAGGTGAGGTGGTCAGGGAAGGCTGCCTGGAGGAGAGGATGTCTGAAGTGAATCTCATCGGACAAACAAATAGGGGAGAAAAGGGGGGTCAGGTGAGGGTAGCCGCATGGAAAAAGGCCCAAAGGGTTGACTTTGGCCCAGGATGGCCGAGGACAGAAGCAGTAACACAAGAATGGTCACCCGCTGTCCCTGAAAGTTAACAAAGAATGACCTTGAATTAGCTGCTGGCCTCTTCCACTCCCTGGTGCAGGCGGCTCTGTGTTAGCCACGGAGAAGGATGCCATTCGTCCCTCCTCCTTCAGGTGGGGGTGGGGGAGGAGGCACTCACGTGCAATTTCTGGAAAGTTCTACAGGAACTTCGGAGAGACATCTGCCTCTCCAGCGCCAGCCTTGGCTGCAGCTGGCTTCTGAGGCATTCGGGGTCTCGCTCTGCCCACCGGAGGGCCGTGCGTGTGCGCCGCCCGGAGCAGCCCCGTCCCCTGGACTGAGCAGACCCCGACCCGCGGGATCTTCCCAAGGACGCTGCCAGGAACGCTCACCACCCGCATTACAGACAGAGACACAGACGGGACCTGCCCCCGGTCACACTTCTAGAAAGCTGGCGGCAGGAAATGCAAAGCCAGGCGCCTGCTTCTAGAATCTGTGCAAACGTCCGCCCCACAGCGCCACTCCGCGAGCCCATCTGCAAGACGCAAGGCCGAGGCCCAACCCCAGGGAGCTTCTGTTGTCCCTGCCCGACCCCGGCCACCCTACCTCGGGGTTCTCCTGGCTCGGGGGCCGGTCTTCCTTCTTCTTTTTGGTGGCCTGAGCTCCCTGAGATGGCTCCTCCGTGGGCGGCCGTGGCTCCGCCGTGCTCTCGGGCTGCGTCTGCACTTGAGGCTGGATGATGATGACCTGGAAGTGGCGGGGGAGGGGGGAGGGGTGAGGGGGGGAGAACTGGGGAGGGAGAGGGGCCTTGGAAGGCGGGATCACAGCTGCGGAGGAGGCTCTCGGGCCCAGGGGGCGCCTGCCCCCAGGGTGTGCGCCTCCAGCCCACCCTTCACACCGGGAGGAGGGTCTGCACGAGGCTGGGCCTGGTTTAGGAACCAGAAGGGCCTGGGTTCAGGCCTCCGCTGGCATGTCGCGGCTGTGTGGCCTCGGGGCGGTCACTTTGCTTCTCTGAGCCTCAGCTTCCTCGCAATAAACACCCACCTCCAGGGAGGCGGTGGAGACCCGGGCAGCAGAGACTCAAGAAAGGTTGGTTTCTTTACCCCTACCTCAAATGCAGGTAAACGGAGGCCAGGAGGGCTCAGATTTGCCGCCTGAGGTCATCAGGGGTCTATCTGTCTGCAGGGCCCAGCCTGCCCACTCCCCAGCATGCCCCTGGGCCCCCGGGCCACTGTGTCTGAGGCTCTCACATCTGGCCTCAGCGAGGTGGGGGCGAGAAGGGGGAGGTAGACTCCAGACCCAGCTCAGTATCGCCCAGAGCGGCCCCACTCCAGCCAGCTTCCATCAGGGTTCAGGGTAACCGTGTGGTTTGATCAAAGGGTCTGCGGCTGAAAAGTCAGAAAGGGATTCGTGCAGCCCAGCCTCTCCCTCCCTCCATCTGTGGCTCAACTATTTTATTAATTGTTTTGGGCAGGGAATTGGCAAAGGATCGCTATCTTGCACGGATCCGAGGGAAGGAATTCACCAGGAGCAGCCAGCCAGGGTCTGACCCAAGCCAGGAAGAACCTGAACTTGTATTTCTCCCCCTGAGAACATGACTGTCTCGTGAATTTGGAGCTCCTGAGCACGAAGAGAAAACGCATTTTGTTTTTCGGCTGGCTCGAGGAGAGGTTCTTTGTTCTCCTTTGTATCACAATTTTAAAACCCCAGAATTCTCGGGATGGGGAAAAAAAAAAAAGGTCCCTCTTTATATTCGTGGGAAGAAAAACGTTAAGATCCCCAGTAGAAAACAGGGCAAAAAATATCCTCAAGCGAGTCACGTTGAAGGAGACAGGATTCTTGAAAAGTATAGAGGAAACATTCGAGCTTCCTAATAACCAAAGGAATTCAACTTTGAACAGCGAGCATCTGTTCGCACCGATTAAACAGCAAAAAGCGTTTAAAGTGGCAACACGGAATGCTGCTGAGGTTGCAGTGAAAAGGGCACTCATCCCACAAACGCCTGCTGAGCTCCCCCCTCGTGACCGGCCGTGGTCCTGAGGGCCACGTCTCCCCCACCTGACCACGGCTTGTCCTAACCGAGGATCCCCCGGGCTACCGTCCGCGGGTGGCAGGGCCCAGAATGACAATACTGCCAGAAATACACCGTGTGCAACCACGTACAGGAGCAGGAAAGCGGGCCGCCAGCTCCCAGGCTGGGAATTAGGAGGGACGCTGGCCATCGGCAAGACAGGGGCCTTGTGGCAGATCCCGAACTAGGGACAGAGGACAAGGGCCACCGAGAAGAAGCGGTGCCTTTCACGCAGCCCCAGAGGCCTCGAGCCGCACAAGCACCAAGGAGTTCGGAGAGGGACACAGAGAGGATCTGAGTTTCGGTTTTCAATCTTGCCAAGACATCACGGGTTTTCCTTCCGGGCACCTGGCGTCCCCGAAGGTCCTTGGCTACCCAACGACACTGGCCAGAGACCCGTCGTCACCAGCTCCGGCCTCCTCCGGGCACAGACCTCACTGCCCAGTTAATGACTCCCGTGAATGAAGTCGCTCATTCACTGCCCAATCATCGTTTTTCCACCGATACAGATGCATTCGGCCACGCGTTTCGGCCACACACCCGCCCGTCCGTGCCGCCCCGTTCACGTGTGGAGCCGTTCCCCTTCGTGCCTCGTTCCCACCACCATCCCTTCCGCCACCGACTCCCTCCCTCCCTCGCTGGGTCGTTCCTTCGTGCCCCAGGCGCTCGAGCACTGACCCCTCTCCTGACGGCTCATTCGCGCCTCTGTTCACACCCGCTTGGTTCACCGGGGCCCTCGGGTGGTCACTCCAGCAGCCACCCGCCCACTCTGTCCGGGCCTCCCGCGCCTGCGGGCACAACACACCCACCTTCTTGTCGGCACTGATGAGGAGGGGCTGGACCATGACGCTGTCGCTGACCACAGACACGGCGGTGCTGGGGGCGATGGCGGTGGCATTGTTGGGGGCGGTGGAGATGATGGCGTAGGCCACCCCGGCGCCGCTCAGGGGGGAGGTGATGGCCGAGGACTCGGCGAGGGCCTGGGGCTGGCTGCTGGGCGTCGGCACATGGCTCACGGTGTTGTTGGCGGTGGGGAGGGCCGGGCTGGGGTTCTTGACGCTGACCACGGTGGCCTTCTGGAACGTGGGGGGCTGCTTGGGGGGCCGGTCCCGGCCTGGGGTGACGGGGAGGCTGTCTGGAATCAGAGTCTTTGGCCTAACCTGGGGAGGGAGGGAAGGACAGTCGCACGGCGGGGCGGACACACAGGCAGGCGGGGTGACGACAGACGCGGAGGAGGGGCGGGCCCCGAACACAGCCGGGACTCGGGAAGGGGGGAGCCCAGGCACGGACGCGGCCGGGCTCGGAGGCCTCCCGGGTGAGAGGCCGCGGGGCCCAGCTCCGGACCCAAGCCCCTTCCGGCTCAACCCAAAATGGTGACGAGCAGGAGGGCGATGGGAAAGCTGCACATGGGCCAGTTGGGTGCCCTCTGGCTCCAGCCGCAAAGCCGCGAGCTCTCCCGGAAGACAGAAGTCCACACGGCGCTGTCATTGCGGGGGGGGGGGGG